AACGTATTTTAGATACCATGAAAAGACACACAGCCTGAGTCATGGAGTGATAGTTCATAAACTGTGCTTACTGTTAATTATCAGACCAAATGGGCCCTAAAATTAATATATTGCATTCAGAATTACTTTCTGCCATGAGCTAAGTTCTTCGGTCAACCAAACGTAACTGCTTGTCTAGTCACCAATGACCTCCACATTGCTGAGTCCACTGGTCCATTATCTTATGTGGCTTGTCAACAGCATGTGACACAGCCGGTCACTCCGGTCCAGGAAGCGCTTTCTTCACCTGGCTTCCAGGACACTGTATTCCCTTGGTTTTCCTCCCACCTCACTAGCTGCTCCTGCTGAGTCCTTTGCTGGTTCCTCCTCTTCTCCCCTATCTCCCAGGGCTCAGTCCTTCCAGACGTCTCGGTTGTAACAGGAGGGACTGCACAGGATATGAGCCCCACTGCTAGACATTCCTGCCTCAGCTCAATCGTTGCTTCCTTTGGAAAACCTTAGATGCTCCAAGGTCATATTGGCTGTTCTTCTTTGGGGGTCCACCAAATCCTGTACGTGCTCCCTCCTGAGCACTGGTCACACTCTCTTGCACATCTCATTTGCCTTCCATGCTAAACTATGAGCTGCTTAGCACAGTATTCTATGATGTCACCAGTATTCCAACAGCCTAACAGGTCCCCTCAATCCAACTTTTATCATTGAGTGGTGTTTCATGGTATGGCTGTAGCACAGTTTGGTGAACCAGTCAGCCATTGAAAGACACCTGGGTTGTTTCCAGTTTGGGACTGTTACAAATAAAACTGCCATGCACATTTGTGGATATGTCTTTAAATGCCCAGGAGTGCTGTTGCTGAGTTGCATGGTGAGCGTATGTTCAGTTTTAGAAGAGACTGCCAAACTATTTTCTAGAGTAGCTGTGCCCTTTAACGTCTCCAAGCAGTGTATGAGAGATCCAGTTCCTCTGCATTCTCGTCAATACTTGGCATTGTCAAGGTTTTTCATTTTAGACATTCTAATAAGCATGTAGGGGTATCTCATCATGGTTTTAACTTGCATCTCCTTAATGGCTAATGATGTTGAAGATCTCATGTGTTTATCTGCCATCCTTAGATCATCTTTGCTAAAGTGTCTGTTCCAGACTTTTGCCCATTTTCTAATTGGGTTGTTTGTTTTCTAGCTTAAGTTTAGTTGAGTTTAGAGAGTTCTTTATGTAGTCAGGACACAAGTCTTTTGTCGGATATGTGATTTGCGATTACTTTCTCCCAGTCTGTGCCTTCTCCTTTCATCCTATTGATATGGTCTTTCACAGAGTACAAGTTTTTAATTTTGATGAAGTGCAGTTTATCATTTTTTCTTTAACGGATGGTGCTTTTGGAGTTGTGTCTAAGAACTCTTCACCCGACCCCATGTCATGAAGATGTTTTCCTCTGTTTTACAGTTTTACGTTTTATATTTAGATCTGCCGTCCATTTTGTGTTAATTTTTTGTGTACGGCTGAGCTTCAGTTCTTTGCCTATTTGCCCAATTGTTGCAAAGAACTGTCCTTTCCCCATTGAGCTGCTTTTGCACCTTTGTCGAAAATCAGCTGCCTGTACTTGTGTGAATCTGTTTCTGGGTTTTCTATTCCATTTAATTGATTTTTGTATCTATCCCTTGGCAGATACCACACTGTCTTGATTATTGTGTTTATAGAGTAAGTCTTAAGATCAGGTATTGTGACTCCAAGTTTTTCTTTTTCAAAATTGCTTTAACTATTTTACTTCCTTTGCCTTTCCACATAGATTTTAGAATAAATGCCTTTGCATATAGATTTTAGAATAAACTTGTCTATATCTACAAAAATTCTTGTTGGGCTTTTCATAGGAATTGCATTAAACCTAACCTACACATCAGTTTGGAGAGAATTGTTATCTTTACTATGTTGAATCTTCCAATACATGGATATGGTATATCTCTCTATTTACCTAGATCTTCTTTGGTTCCTTACATCAGCATTTTGTAGTTTTCAGCATACAGATTTTGTACATGTGTTGTTAGACTTACAACTAAATATTTCTCCCACCTCCCCCTCCCTCGGAGTGATTGTAAATGGTATCGTGTTTTAAATTTCTGTTTCCACTTGTTTATTGCCAGTGTATAGAAATATAATTGAATTTGTATGTCAATCTTGTATCCTGCAAACTTGCTAAACTCATTAATTCTGTGAGTTTTTTGCAGATTCCTTGGAATTTTTTTACATATACAATCATGCCATCTGCAAATAGAAACAGTTGTGTTTCTTCCTTCTCTTGCCTTATTGCCCTGGCTGGAACTTCCAACAATAAGAGTGGTGAAAGAAGACATCTTTGCCTTGTTCCTGATTTTAAGAGAAAGGTGTCTAGTCTTTTACCATTAAGTATAATGGTAGCTGTAGTTTTTTGTAGATGCTCTTTATCAGATTGAGGAATTTCCTTCTATTCCTTGTTTGCTGAGAATTTTTATCATAAATGGGTGCTAAATTCTTATGTTAAATGGTTTTTCTGCATCAATTGATATGATCATGTGATTTTTTAGCTCATTAATATGGTAGATAATATTGATTGGTTTTCTTATATTGAAACAGTCCTTCATCTTTGGAATAAACTGTACTTGGTTGTGGTGTGTAATTCATTTTATATACTGCTAGATTCAATTTGCTAACATCTTGTTGAGGATTTTTGCATCTTTGTTCATGAGAGATATTGGTCCGTAGTTTTCTTCTTTTGTATTGTCTTTTCTGGTTTTGGTCTCATAAAATTAGTTGGGAAATGTTCCTTCCTCTTCTGTTTTCTGGAAGAGATTGTGTAGAATTTGTGTTATTTCTTTTTTTGGTGGAATTCACCAGTGAAACCATGTGGGCCTAGATATTTCTTTTTCTAAAGATTTACCTATGAATTTAATTACTTTAATAGTGATAGGACTATTCAGATGATCTATTTCATCTTGAGGGAGTTTGGTAGTTTGTGGTTTTCTAGGAATTGGTCCATTTCATCTAAGTTCTCAAATTTATGGATGTAGAGTTGTTTGTATTATTCTCTAAGCATCCTTTAATGTATGAAGGACCTTTAGTGTTATCCCTTCTTTCATTTATGATAATCATAACTTACGTCTTCTTTCTCTTGTTCTCTTTTTTGCTAGAGGCTTATCAATTTTTTTTTTTTTTTTTTTTT